CCCCATGGGATGCCTACATCAAACACGACATCCAAATAATGCTGCAACTTGGTCCTCAGCCCTCTGGAGAGGGTCCTGTTATATTCTGCTGCCCTGGGTCAGAGGCGGACAGAAATTGCAGCCTCCTCCCAGCATTGTAACAGGATCCAACCACCACCCTGGAACAGATGGAATTCAAAGGCCAGGAAGGTCCCATTTAACATTAAATATAGGCTCTTGGCCACTGGGACTTCAATGATTCAAGGACAAAGAACAAATTCAAGGTGGTCACAGGCAAATTCTATCACTGAGAGGCAAGTTCTGGCAGATTCCTGATTACCAAAATATCACCAGATTCCTAAATACAGTGTCAACATTCCAAAATTGTTTCAAGTTATCTATTCATTCATTCATTCCCCACCCAGCTATTCCAGCTGAGGTGTGGGAAGGAGCTGTGGACTCTGATCCCAAAGCTAAGGGTGAAGACAGGACCCATCCAAGGTATGTCACACACATTCCTCCAGTGAGGACCTCTGAGAATCCCCCACATCTCATCTGTGCCATTTGGGGGCCAACAATACCTGGGTAAAGTCCTCAAAGACTGAAGAACTGCACATCCCACAAAGATGGTGGCCTTGGACAGAATTATTATTTTTCAGAAAAGTATTTTACTTAAAAGGATAGTGGGGGGGGGGGCAGCGACAGAAAAGCTCACAGATTATGGGTCTCCTCAAGTAGGATTACTCAGAATTCTTTCCTCTCTTCAATGCAGAAAGGGCACATGCCATAGTTTCTGCTGACCACAAGTCACATTTGCTGAAAAGTCATTAAGTCAAACCATTTTTCCTCGGAGGCTGTGGGCACATGCCTGCCTGCAGGCTCCGCCAGGAACTGTACCTTGGGATAAGGATCCTCTGTTCGGGGCCCACTGCTCTGCACCAGACTGGTGCCTTAGACTCTGGAAACTGGGCTGTCCTATTGGAAAAGAGGCATGGAGAAAGTTGACTCAAACAAAGGGGTCTTTGGACAAAGCCCAGCTCTCCTACTGCTGGGTGCCTCTGAGTTACTGGAATCATCCCTGACCTGGGCAATCTGCTGATGAATGAGAACAGTTTCGTGCCTTTTTGTCAACTGCAGGCACCTTTATTTTTACAGTACCTATAACCCCAGAGCAGGAGCACCTTTCCTCTGCCTGGGGAGGCAGCTGCTCACCAGGGCTAACCCATGTGTTTGGGACCAACCAAGGAGAGAGATGCTCCAAGCAGAGGCGTGGTGGAAGGTCACTGGGCACACGTTGTCAGACACTCGTCCCCCCTACTGCAGCTGGAGAGGTCACCCAAGCTAATTAAATGCTTGATCTCCAGCAGACATTTCAGCAGAAAATGTATTATTCGCAGATGTAATGAGAGAATATGGCCCACAAATCACGCACGTAATCACACACCACGGCGATTCCTTTGTAGTCACGGAGGAATTAGGAGATGAGTCATTTTCTGTCTTGGGCTTGATTGCCCCAGAGCTCGAACCCACTGGAGTCTCTGAATTATGGTCGGTGTGGCCATCCTTTCCCCCTTCAGCAAAGAAGATGAGGCTGTGAGGTCCCCAGGTCACCGGGCCTTGCCCCAGGGGGTGCAATGGGCCGCAAGGACACTCTGGCCTCACGCGGGGGGAGGGGGGGGGGAGGGGGACTTCGCCCATTGGTGCCGGGACACAGGCTCACCCACGCCCTGCAGCAGAGGGGCACGGCCCGAGCCTGCACCTAGAAGCCGCGTCTCCACGCGGCAACCCACCAGGTGCGGCTGGGCTCTGGGCCCCTCCACAGGGGAGACGACGGTGACTGCAGGGCGCGAGGGTGGGGGTGGGGCGCGCTCACCGTCCCACGCGCCGACGCAGCCAGGACTCCAAGAAGGGGGCGCTGGGAACCACTTTTCCCTAGTGGCCCAAGAAGCGCCACGCCCGGCGAGGCCCCGGGCGACCCCTGGTGCATGACGTCGCCGGCCCCAGCTAGCAGGCGGCAGCAGGGGAGTCCCCTAGGGCCCGAGCTCCCAGCCCGGCCGTGGCGTCAGAGCCAAGGGACCCCGGGGGGTCACGCGGCGACACACTCGGGAGGGCCCGCAGGAAGGGGGCAGGGCGCCAGGAGCGGCGGGCAGGACGCCGAGAGCTGGAGGGCGCGGGTCCAGCCAGTCAGTCAGACGCGAGACCTACCTGACACCTGCCTGCAGGTCGCACGCCTAGACCGCTACTCAGCCGCGCCTCCCTTCCTCCCGCGAGATCCACACTCTCGCGAGACCCACGCGGCCGATTCCCACGAGAGGCGAGCATCCCTGAGCGGCTCCTCCCACGAGATGGATACTCTCGCGAGACCCATGAGGCCAACTCTCGCGAGAGGCGCAAGTCCCTGAGCTACTCGTCCCATTTTCCCGCGAGCTCCACACTCTCGCGAGACTCACGCGGCCGTCTCCCACGAGAGGCGCGAGTACCTGAGCCACTCCTTCCGTGAGATGGAGACTCTCGCGAGACGCACGTGGTCAAGTCCCGCAAGAGTCGCGAGTCCGGGCCGTTCCCGCGCTCAGCACGTGCGAGCCGCGTGCTCCCGGGTTCCGCAGCCTCGTGGGCTGCTCCTGCGGGTGGACCCGAGCGAACGCGGGCCGTGGTCCCTCCGCATTCATCCCGCAGCAGGCCCGCTGGTTTTCTCTCGATACGCCAGTTGCTTCCTCGGTGTGCGTGATGGAACAGGCCCGGGAGGGAGGGGGGGGCGGTGTTCGGGACCACCGGGCCGCACCCAGGTGGGGTGGCCGTGCATGCGCCAAGAACCGAAGCCGGCCTCCAGCGTGCAAGCCGGGACCTCAGACCCTTTGCCCTAAACCCCGAGCCCTCACCAGTGCGTTTTCTTTCCTTTCTTGCCTGTTTTCAGTTTGGAGGCCGCACCCAGTGGTGTTCAGGGCTCCTCCTCCTCCTCGTTCTGTGCCCAGGCAGAGATCAGGAGATCTTACGGGGAGCCCTGGGTTGAAGCTCGGTGCAAGGCAAGAGGCTGCCCACAGTACTCTCTCTGGCTTCTCCTGTGGGTTTTAAATGAAACACTGAAGATTTACCAGTCCTGTGATTTTTCTGTTTTCTTACGGTTGAGCTTTGTTCTCCCGTGGTGTTTAAATAGAACTGAACCCCCAAATGGGTTTAAAGTACAACAGTATTCCCTTTGTTGCAGCATTTTAAGGTGACTGTACATCATCAAGGCTGTTTACAAGAAAATTAGTCCCACAAGATTATAGCCACACCTGGGTATTTCTGGTGGACTCACCCAGTTGAAACACTAAGGGGATTAAAATCAAGGTGGGACAAAAGAAAAGCTTTTTAAAGGTGTGAAAAGTATAACCTGCCAACCAGGAGAAGAGGGAAAAGTAACCATTGCAGCTCACTGGGCTGTGGCCAGTTGTCCTGTCTTCCCCAGTAAAGAGCAGCATCTCCCTGACAGCCAAGAATGCGACCACTTAGGGGAACCTGAGAGGCAACCCTTTGTACAGCTTCTTAGTTCAAGGTCTAGCTGCCAAACTGGAGATGCACCTCATAGGGGTCAGAGAGAAGAAGCAACCTTCAGACAGGCTTTCGGGATCCCAGTTCTTATTTGACCAAGACATCTTCACAGGCCTTAAGAACTCACCTGGCCAGCCAGGGGAAGGTCCTGAGCAAGGCTGGTATGGACAGAAACAACCCAACTTAGCTTGCTAAGCCCAACAGAAACAAGAAAGACAGAAACAAGCCCAACAATTCTTAGGGATGCCCTACTCAGATGTTCATGGAAGTCCTCTCTGGGGTATTTCTGCTATTCTTCTTCTTCTGCTCTCAAATTTTTCTTTCTCTAAGGAAATAAAGATTTCAAGAGTTCAGAAAGGTGGAAAGAAAGTCACTTCCTTTTGGCCTTAGTTTGGCAGCTATGTTGAGAGCTGGATGGAAGATCCAGGCTGAAAGTGACGTAGCTTGGCCCTCATGTATAGGCATCTGGCTGGGATCTCCCTCCATCCCCGTTCTGGTCAGCTGCGAGCGCCTGGGCTGTGTATGAGGTAGAAAGGCAGCCCCTTGGAAATCCAGGGCTCGTGTCATGTCAGAGAGCCACGGAGGGGGCAGGGGCAATGGGCCAGACCATGGGAGCCTGGAGTGGTCTCTGCCACCATATGGTCTCCCTAGTACTGAGCTGAGTACTGCTGAGTACGGCCCCCGTGGACCTCAAGGGCTATTTGCAGTACTGGACATCCGGACAGATGCTTCCCTTCACCCATGAGCTGTGTTCTGAAAATGACCAAGTTTTCCAAACCAGGTGCCTACTAGTTCCCATATGACGTTGTCAGACTCAATTTAAAACAAGGGGCTAGAGCGACAGTACAGTGGGCCAGGCACTTACTTTGCACTCAGCTGACCAGGCTTTGATTCCTGGCACACCCTGTGCTTCTGCAAGCCTGCCAGGAGTGAGCCTGGAGCCCTGCTAGGTACGACCCAAAATACAAAAACAACCTCCAAACCCCACCCCTTTTACTAAGCCCCTCCTCAGCAACCTGCAGTGGCTGGACAGTATCTGGCTGTGAGGTAGCCCAGGCCAGGGTCACTTTCTGGCATGGTCTGTGGGACAGCTGGACTCTGCGGCTCGACTGTATAGTCACCCAAATCCAGTTCTGTGACAAGGACTGCCACCACAGGGCTCAGACTTTGGCTCTCCAAAGGGGCCAGTGGACCTCAAGGTTTCCTATGTCTTTCCAGCCTCAAACGTCTATCTTGGGAGATCGTTTCTCAAGCCAATGATTAAAAGAAGCTTATGTTACACTCTTGCTTTGTTGGCAAAGAAGAAACAGATGTTCCGTAAAAACTGTTTTCTGCGCCATTACTCCTTGCTGGTGAGAAATGCTGAGTGACAGCTACAGACGGGTCACACAGGAACACGGCCCCAGCCCCCCGCCCTGCTGCCCCCCCCACCCCCGCCCCCCGGTCCAATCTCAGCCACCCTCCATCGTTAGAACCACTCAGGCATAGGATGATTTAAAACTATTCATTTATTTCCATTCACATTTCCAGATTAAAAGGTTGTCTTTAATTTGAGCCTGTTTTTCAGAGGCACTTTGATTTCTCATGAACGAGAGAGAGATGAGAATCACTCTGGCTGCAGATGTAAAGGAGCGGGTTCCAGGCCGGGGCATGGACACATTGGCCTGCAAGGGCTCCCAGAGGTTGCAGCATGCGGGGCATCTGAGGTGGGGAGGCTGGTTATGGAGGCCGCCCCTCTCAGCCGCTGTGCGAGGCGAGGATGGGGCCAGCGCCCCCACTGCCGAGGGGCGTTCCCCTCACCCAGAGAAGGTACGAAAGTGGTTCTCAGTGACCACAAGGCTCCAAAGAAAGGTTTGCTCCAAGGCACCGAGGGTGTAAAGCCTCTTAGAAAAGACATGCACGAACAGAGTAAGGACGGGAGTTAATTCTCCAAGGGAGGGATTCGCTACTGTGGGAACTAGCGTAAATCACTGGGGCAGATTGCAATAAAAAAAGAAAACAAGGCACGTGGCTGCACTGTGTGGGGAGAGGAGATGGGCCAAAGCCCCCCAGCCCACCACCACCGCCTCACTTGTACTTGTAGAACCCCTCCCCGGTCTTCTTGCCCAGCTTCTTCTCTGCCACCAGCTTGTCCAGGACTGGGCAGGGCTGGAACAAGGGGTTCTTGCTGTCCAACTCGTGCCAGCCTGGAGGGAGGAGGGACAGGGTTAGGGGGAGGCTCTGACACCCGGATCTCCTGGGGTGTTGCCTGAGCTGAGCTGGGGCATAGGGTTGCACTCTGAAGGGGGCAGAGTTGGGGGGCCAGGCTAATCCCTCCTGTCCAGCACCAAGGATGCAGACAGAACCTTCCAGGGACTGGCCCCAGGCGGACTGGCCTGAAATACGGTCGCCTCGACGATTAAGAAAAGGGTGGGCCTAGGGGCTCACAGCCTTGTGGACAGAAGGCCTGACCATCCCCCCACAAAGACGTACAGCCTCGAACCAGTCACCATGGGAACAGCATTGTCCGGTTAGATGTCTGGCTGAATCTACCTAGGCTGGGCTCCTGCATGGCCAGGGTCTTAGAGTACGGGACAAACATCTTTGGAATGGGCTTTCTCGGAAGGAGCAGAGCGAGCGATTACAAGGCCTGGCCAGGGCGGTCTTCCAGCGTGGGGCTGGAATTCTGGGTTTACAGGCCCCCTGCGGCCCCATCCTGACCAGCTCCTTCATCTGTCTAGTCCCCGAGTAACCCACTAACCTCTCAGAGCCTGTGACAATCCCAACTGGCCACCCACCTCATCAGACCTGCCCCCTGGGGGAGGGGCTCAAACCCCTCCTGCAAAATGGGGTTTCGCACATCATATGACCAAAACCCAACCGTGAACAACTTCGTAACTGGATGCTCACGGCGATCCAATAAAAAAAAAAATTTAAGTGCGTTCCAGTATAGGCTGAGCGTGATAAGTCAAATAGAGTGATGGGAAGGATGATGTCCCAATGTTCCCTCGCAGCGCTGCTATGGGCCTGAGGCCTGGCCGCCTGCGTTCCTTTCAAGGCGGGAAGTGGGCAAGACCACCGGGCGTGTTCCCCGGTGAGGGCCTTGCCTTCCTTCTCTGTGGCACTGGCCTCAGGTTGTGGGCCCCGTTCCTACCGTCGATGATGAACTTGGTTGTGTCCAGCCCGACGTAATCGGCAAGTTCAAAGGGGCCCATGGGGTAGCCGGCGCCCAGCTTCATGGCCGTGTCAATGTCCTCCTTGGACGCATCACCTGAGGAGACAGGGAAGCGCCGCGTCAGCTCCCAGTGTCCCTTGGGAGGGTCTCAGTAGCCTGTCTGAGAAGCCTGGCTGGTGGGGGTGTGGCCACCCCTTGGAGCTGGGAGCGGGTGCCTGAAGCAGCCTGGGAGCCGCAGCACATCAGAGATGCTCCAAGCTTCCTGTGGGCAAGCTTCACGCGGGCTGGGGCGGGGGGGGGGGGGGGGGGGGGGGAGGGAGGAAGGGCACAGCGTTGGGAGGGGCTTCCTGGGAAAGCCGCATGGAGTGAGCGGGACGCATTCTGCGTATCTTTCAGTGGGTAAGCACGGGCCATTCAAGCGGCACAGAGCAAGATGCTGCTTCCCAGACAGAGAGGGCAGTGCTGGGACTGGAGCAGTCGGGCACTCGGCTTCCCGGAGGAACCAAGGGGACACTCGGGTCTCCAGAGAGAGACTTTGGGAGGGGTTGGGGAGGAGTCTCTGCCGTCCCCTGCGGGGACCTTTCCCTGCACGGGGCTGGACAGCCTGAGGGTACCCACAGGGAAGGCCCTCTGTGCCAAGCAAAACGGGTCAAGGCAGCCTGTTCAGACCACGTCAGGCTGGAAAGCAGCATTTCAGGGCCCCGGGCCGCGGTTCAGTGGCAGGGCACAGGCCCATGCAGGCCTAGGACCAGCCGCCAAGCACCGTGGGGCTGCAGGGATAGGCCTCACACCCGCCTCCACATCTCCATCACAGCCTCCCGTGGGGGCTGGCACAGCCCACCAGTGGCTTACAAGTGACTGTAACTGTCACACCAGCCTTGATGCTCTGTAGACAATGTAGGGATTTTACGCAGTGTCACTGAAGCAGCAAATTTTGTTGTGGAAAGCTGGGGTCCAAGATGCAAGTTTGGTCTAGATGTGTCACTCTCTGCTGTGTGAGTGCGTATGTGTGCATGTGTGTGTGTGTGGGGGGGGGGTAAGAGGAAGGAGGTTAAGGGCGGGTCTGGGTCTATCTAGGTTTGGAGGTCCCAGAATCCCACTCTGAGGCACTCAGGGACCCGGGGCCTGGGGACACTGTGACCAGAGCGCCGAGAGCAGCCCCCTGATAGCTGGGGACACCCACCTCGCTCGTACAGCCGCACGGCCTCCATGAGGTAGGGCACCAGGAGGCGGTTGACGATGAAGCCCGGAGTGTCCTGTTTTGGGAGGGGGAAGAGACGCCTGAGTTTCCTGGCACTTTCTCCTCTGCCACAACCTCACCACGAGGACGTCGCCCCCAGGGCAGGGAAGCTACTTCCTGCCAAGGGCCACTCAGATATTCAGGCTGGGCTGCGCAGAGCACCAGAGCCCGTGAACTGCCACCATGACTTCCCCACCCCGATGTACAGCACCGCACTGCTCAGAGTCGACGGGACCACGGAGCCCGCCAACATGAACACGAAATTCCAACCTGGATCCTCCCCAGACCAGGAACGGAAGCGGGAGTTGGGGAGATGGCACGGCGGAAAGGTGCTGGCCAGCACGCGGCTAAGTCAGGTCCCATCTCGGGCGCCAGGGGTCACCCGGAACCACCTACTCCGGCCCTGAGGGATGTCACAGGCAGCGGGAAAGCCTGTCCTGGGGCTCGGGGGCTCCCGCGCCCACACTAAGTCTCAGCGACATGTGCCCTCCCTGGAACACCAGAGGAGAGCCACCAGGTTAGGCAGAGGTGGCCACTCTGGGCCAACCCAAGGGTCTTGAGTGGGGGTGTGCACGGGGACAGGTCCCGAGTCTTGAGGGGCTGAAAGCAGCAGGGAGAAACAGAAGGTCACCCACAGTGGGCGGCGGTGACCGGAAACAATACGGAACACCTCATTTGTGCAGCGGTGGTCCTTCCTGCTCAGCCACATGGCCCAGCGTTCAGGGAGTGGCCTGGCCCGTCCCCCCCACCACAGCACCAGGGGACAGGGCTGAGTGGATAGCTGTCGGCACACGTGCCAGCAGAAAGGTCCATGTGAGCCAGAGCCCAGCCCCGCCTGGTCCTGCGCCGGGGAGACGTGCCCACCTTGCAGGAGACCGGGTGCTTGCCCACGGCCCTGCTGAAGTCCATCAGAGAATCGAACGTTTTCTGGCTGGTCATCGGCGTCTTGATGACCTGGAAAGGCAAAGCAGAGAATGAAGACGGTCAGTCAGGCTATGATCTCAGGAGAGCCCAGAAGCCCTGAGACACGGGGGAGTAGGAGTGTCTCCGGGCCGGGGCACAGCGGCAAGGCCGTGTGTGTACATGTGCACATACGGGCACGTTTACAGGTGTGTGAACGCGTGTCTCCCAGGCGCCAGCACCACGCCAGCCTGGGCCAAAGCCAAGTGGCGCATGGACAGGCTGCAGGACTTGGGGGCACTGCAGTGCCCAGGGAGGGGACACAGTCAACAGTCGGAGGGGGCCGGCTCTGTCCCACTGGCACCATGCAGCCAAAGAGGCCACGGCATAGGGCACCGAGCAAAGCCCAGGATTCCGACTGGGCCCCCACCCACAGCCCCAAACCCCAGAGCCAGAAGCCCTGGGTCCTCAGGCGGGCACTGGAACCCCGAGGCCAGCCTGGACCTCCCTGGACACATGGGGTGGGTCAGCCACCAGTTCCGTCCCAGCACACGGAGGAAGGAAGCCAATGGAAACCAGAGCTGCAGCCAGGCACAGAGGCCACAGCCCACACCACAGGCCGGGCTGCGAGAGGGCCAGGCCCCAGGAAGGGTCAAGTCACCCACTGGGCTTCTGGGAAGCCTCCAGTGGGCTGCTGGGAAGGGGCTGGGATACAGGTCAGTGACCTCACTCGCCTGCGGGTTTAGGTTCAGCCCTGAGCTTGCATGGAGCAAACCTAGGTTCCATCCCCAAATGGTCCCCCGAGCCAGGAGGGGGCCCTGAGCACAGAACCAGGAGAGAGCCCAAAGCACAGAGTTCGGAGTGAGCCCCGAGCACAGAGCCAGGAGTGAGCCCTGAGCACAGAGCTGGGAATGAGCCCTGAGCACATAGCCAGGAGAGAGCCCCAGCACAGAGCCGGGAGGAGACCGCAGGGTGACAGACAGTACAGGGGTGAGGCGCTTCCTGCCCAGAACTGCTGACCCCAATCCCATCCAGGCACTGCTGGGCACGAGTCCTGACCACCACCAGGTCAGAAATAAGAGGAAAAGCAAAGGGGCCTACGGAAGTGGTGTCCACATGACTCTGGTTCCCAGCGGGGCTCGGGAAAGCTCTAGAACCCAGGGCACAACACCCTGGCCTTGCCGGATGCTCTCCCGCTGGCGTTTGGTTCCCCAGAGCTCCTGCAGCTGAGAGGGTGCTGGGCCGCGGGATCACTCCCGACTGGGCCCCGCTGCCCCTTGAGAAAAGCCGTAAGACAGTTTGGAGGACTGGGCCCGGGCCAGGGCCGGGAGGGGCATGGGGGAGCCGGGGAGGGCCAAGGATGGGTGGGCGTGGATGGGCCGGGGAGTGGGGTATGGGAGGGCCAGGAGGGGCGTGGGGGGACAGGGAGGGTCAGGGCGTGGGGTGCAGGAGGGTTGGGACGGGTGGGCGTAGGTGGGTGGAGAGGGCTCCCATTGGGCCCGCGGCCCCCACACTTCGCACAGGAACCCCGGGGCCTCGGAACAAATGCGGCTTTAATAGCGCCGCCGGCCTGTAATTAGCCTCCCGTAAAGGCAAGTTGCCACAGCACGGGGCGAACTGTCTCCTGGGCCAGCGTCTCCCCCGACCCCGTCTACATGCGGCGGGGGCGGGGGTGCACCCAGGCCCTCTGCATCCAGCAGGAGGGCCCTGGAGAGCGGCCACATGGTGAAGGTACTCTTCACAGGCCCGCAGCACCTCAGGCAGTTCCAGCTCGGTTCTGCTCCAGTACCCCGCAAGGTGTCCTCTTGCACGGCACCCCAGGCCAGGCAGAGTCCCCAAGGAGACGAGGGCAGGGGGAGTGCCAGGGCCCTTGTGGGGTCTCCGAGCCAAGACTTGTCTGGCAGTTTCACAAACAAGCCAGCGAGAAGCCACGCGCCCAGCCTCCCGACTCCACCGCAGACTCCTGGGGCTCCCACAGGCACGAGCGCACAGCAGATGCACTGACCATGCACGCACAGTGGACGCACGGACAACATGCAACGCAGACGCACGCACAGCGAACGCACGGACAACGACTCAGCGCTGCGAGTAGACGTGACCCACAGGCGCACAAAGCAGATGCACGGACAGCGCGCATGGACGCATGGACAGCGCGCATACACAGCGGACACATGGACCGCTGACGCACGGACAACGCGCACAAACAGCGGACGTACAGACAGCACGCACACACAACGTGTATGCACAGCGGACACACAGACAGCGCGCATGCACAGCGGACGTATGAACAGCTTGCACGCACAGCAGACGCGCGGACCGCGGACGTACAGACAACGCACATGCACAGCGGACGCACAGATAGCGGAAACGCACTGAAAACACACGGACCAAGCATATGCACAGTGGACGCACGGACCACCCGCACAGCAAACGCATGAACAACGTGCAAAGCAGATGCACAGACCACGAGCACGCACAAAAAAACGCACGGACAACACGCACGCACAGCAGACGCGCTGCCCCTACACGCAGTGGACTCAAGTACAACGCGCAAAGCAGACGCACACACACAGCGGACGCACAAACAATGCGCACGCACAGCGGACGCACGGACACCCGCGCCCGAGACCCCACCCACCTCGACCAGCTTCATCATGGGCACCGGGTTGAAGAAGTGGAGGCCGGCGAAGCGGTCCTGGCGGCTGGTGGCATTGGCGATGCTGGTGATCTGCAGCGAGGACGTGTTGCTGGCGAAAATGGTGTGTCTGCGGAGAGACGGCGCAGGCAGCGTGTGGGGGCGCAGGAGAGGCCACTTACCGTTCACCAGGTGGGGTGGGTGACGTGGGGGCTGACCCCGAGAAAGTCGGGGGGCAGACATGGACTTGGTTCATTTGAAGTCTGAAAGTTTAGGGGCTGGAGACCCCCAGGGTCGGGGTGCCCGCGGGAGTGCGGCCCACCCGAGTTCAACCCCGGCTCCACAGGGCCCTGGGCACCGCTGGGCGTGGTCCTAGAGGTCCTCAAGAGCTGCCGGAGTGGTCGGGGGATCCCCGGCACCAGCTTGGCCAAGCGGAGGTCCCTGGGCCTCCTGAGCAACGCAGCAGGGCACCACAGCCAGAGCGTAAATGGACTCACTCAGCCCACTCAGCCCTCATGGCTCATTACTCTTCACCGACCTTAATTTTAGGAAGCAAAATTATTACTCCTCTCCCTTGTATTCGCTAATTTTTATGGCTTGTGAGATAAAGAAAAAAAAAAGGAAAAAAAAACAGGCCCAACTCGCTTCAGGGACCCTCCCAATGATCAAAGACTTGAAATCAAGGAAGGAAACGTCCCAGACACTGGAAAAACACAATGGGGGAAGGGGCCAGGCTGGGGGGAGAAGCACCTGAGTCCCCGACCAGAAATACCTGGTGGGAAACAGGAACCCATGCCCTGCTCCCTGCAAAGGGGGCTGAAGGGGACAGGTGAGGACCGTGGGGCTGAGGAAGGAGTGCGTCTCCCCCCGGACAGCTGGGTCATCTGCTTACAGCAAAGCGGGCAGGTGCCTGCCTGGCACAGGGACCCAGGTGCAATCCCTGGGCACTCCATAGAGTCCGCGGAGCCCCCAGAGTGATCCCAGAATGCAGTCAGGAGTTATCCCTGAGCACATCGGGTGTGATGCCCCCACTCCCAAATACACCGGACTTTTAAAAAAGTGCGTTCTATGAGACCGAAGCGATAGTACACAGGGGAGGGTGTTTGCCTTGCATGTGGCCCACCGGGGTTTAAACCCTGGCATCCCATAGAGTTCCCCCTGAACACTATCAGAAGGATTCCCTGACAAAAGCCTGGTGTGGCCAAAACCCCCTGAGCAGTATTTAGGCTTTGCCTAGGGCGCCACCTGGTGGCCAAGACACACAGAGCTGCGGATCAGAACCAGGCTCTAAATCCATATGGGGGGGGGGGGGGGGGGGGCTCGTGTGCCAGCCCGAGGAACTGAGAACACATTCTGCCTGCAGCAGACCCGCAGCCTGTTCCCAGCACCCACACGGATCCCCCTACCCCCGCCCACAGCACCAAGGGAAGCGTTTCAGGGAAACAAACTTACTCTGGCTTTCCAACCCAGGAGGGAAGAAGGCAGCCCCGGGCAGAGACGGAGCCGTCGACAGCTCAGTGTCCAACCCAACGGCCAGTCCCATGCTCAGAACCCCAGCTGCCCGTGCCAACCCAGGCTGGCCCTGCTCTGCCCGCTGGGCAGGAGGCCTGGACAGCAGGCGCTACCCACCGCCCCTCCCAGCCCTGATCAGTCATGCCCGGGGAGCTCGGTGGGGCACAGGGGCTTCCAGGCAGATGCAGTGCCCACTGGGCATCCCCACCCCAGGACCTGCAGGAGACACAGGCCTGGGCCAGGAGAAGCTCGAGCACTGCAGGGAGCTCTGGGCCCCCCTCCCCGCATGGCTACACCGTGGCTGTACCTCCCCCTCACCCCGATCCTGGGGAAGCACCCCCAACCCCCTCGTCCCAGCGCTCACGTACTCGGCAGCGAACTTGTCGAGCCTCTGGAAGAGCTCGTTCTTCACCTTCAGGTTCTCCACGATGGCCTCCACCACCAGGTCCGTGCTGTGCACCACCGACGCCGCGTCTGTGCTGGTGGTGATGTTGCTCAGGCTCTTCTGCACAAACTCGTCACCGGCCTGAAGTAGGGCAGGAGACAGCCAGGGTGGCCGGGCGCCCAGGGACAGCAGAGTGAGGGCGGGCAGGAGACGGCCGGGGTGGCCGGGCGCCCAGGGACAGCAGGGTGAGGGCGGGCAGGAGACGGCCAGGGTGGCCGGGCACCCAGGGACAGCAGAGTGAGGGTGGGCAGGAGACGGCCGGGGTGGCTGGGCGCCCAGGGACAGCAGGGTGAGGGCGGGCAGGAGACGGGCAGGTGGCCGGATGCCCGGGGACCATGGAGTGAAGGCTGGCAGGACACGGCCGGGTGGCCGAGCGCCCGGGGACAGTGGGGCAAGGGCGGCCTTCAGCCCTGCATGCAGATGGCCCGGGGCCCCACCCTGCCTATCCCTGCATGACTGAACCACACGTGGCCCCCAGGCCTGTGACCGGGGCAGGTGGAGGAGAGCACGTGGGCCAGGCAGCGCGTGTCCCAATCCCGGGCCCCTCCGAGTGCGACCCTGGGGTGGGGAGAAGCCGGGGGCGCTTGGAGGCACGCAAACGTCCGCACACGGAAGCGGGCTGTCTGCGCTGAGACTTGCTGTCCTGCACTGCCCACTCCCGGGCCCTTGGCACTATGGGTCCCGTCAGGCACCTGCAAGCCTCTCCCTGCACGGGGGGACGTGCCCACGGGGACCGTGGCTGTCCCGGAACGGAGGCGCCAGCATGACCATGGTTCTGCTCACGCGAGTCCCAAGCGCGCGTGGACAGGGTCAGCAGGGCTGAGGGCCAGGGGCAGGCTTGTCCAGGGCAGTGACGAGGTGTGGGAATTCCACACAGCCGCACAGTGGCAAGAAGAGGGAAGGCGCTGAGGTCGTGAAGAGGGTCTGGGCGGCAAACAGCGTGCCATGTGCATTGCAGCGTGGTGGGAGGGCTCGGGGGCAGGTGGACACCCCTCTGCCCTGGGAGCCCTGCTCCCTGGCCAGGACATGGGCGTGAGCCCCTGGACACGGCCAGTCTGAGCCTTCCCTCTAGGCCACCTCCTTGCCGGGCTGCCCCCCCCCCCCCACATACTCAGGGGGAGGAGTGCTGGCCCCACCTGCTCGGGCCCCAAACCCACAGGACATGCTGGCACCCATACCTGCCCTGGGACAGGGTCACACGTGGCCCCGAGCAGGGTCCCGCGTGATGCCACGGGGGGTGGGGGGGTCATTAGGGAAAATGGCTCTGCACAGCTCAAAGCAGGACCAGCGCCCGCCAAGCAGCCCGCAGAGACCCGTCCCTGCATTACCGCGGGGTTCTCCGCAAACTTCTTCTTGGCCACTTTCTTCAGGCTGGCCTCAATCCCCTTCTTGGACTTCGCCAGAAGATCCTCGGTCTGGTCCACAAGCACGACCGTGTGGCCGGTGGCCGCAGCCACCTGAGGGGCAGAGAGAAACAGCAGCGCTCAGGGCTGGCCCGGCACCACAGCGTGGCGGGGAAGCGCTGGCCTTGCCCTAGGCTGGCACCCCAAGGGGCCCCCAGAGCACTGTAGGAGCGACTCTGAGTGCAGAGCCAGCATCAGCCCTGACCATCGGCGGGTGCGACCCCAAAACAGAAATAATAAAACAAAACTGAGGCGTGTCCGCTCTTTGCAGCTCGGTCCGCCCCACACAGAGGAGATGCCAAGTAGACACCAAGCCGGCCCGAGCCCCGGTGCTTCCTGTGGCACGTGGTTCCAGCCCACAGACCCCCAGCAATGGACACTGCTCTCAATCCACAGACCCCCAGGAACCGGCTGGTGAAGGGGAGACACACAGCAGCCAAGACACCCCCGTGGTGGCAGGAGAGGCGGGACACAGGCTCCTCTCTGGCTGCCCGTGTCCAAGACCACCTGGTCCCGTCAGAGCCCGGGGCAGCTCTCATCTGCTGCAGGGACCGGCGATGATAAGGCACCACTTTCTGGAGATCCCAGGTAGAGTTCGTGGGTCCCCCCACCCCCCATGCCACCCACCTTATGAGGCACCAACTAGGAACCCCTCGCGGATGCCAGCCAAGATTCCTGTTTCCCCGCAACCCCTGAGGCTGGTGCTGCTGCTCCGCTTCCAGACTAAGTGCCCAGCCAGTCACCAGATCCACCACAGGCCCCGTGGCCAGAGGGGCCCCGGTGCCCACAGCTTGGCAGACGGGCACCCCTGGGGCTCGGCACAGGAAGGGGGCAGGACAGCAGGCACTGTGCTGGCCCGGCACACGCCAGCACGCCTCACGAGCAGGGCCAGGGTGAGGCCTGAGCACAGCCTGACACTTCCTCAGGAAATGGAGACAAACGGGCTGGAGGCTGGCACGTGGCCCCGGGCAGCACCATTCACTGGCAGAGCAGGTTGCTGGGCGCTGGCTGACCCTTCCCCACAGAGCCTCTGCCCCCAGTCGCAGGGGCCACTCGGGGAGCTCCAGTGACCTAAGCTGGATCGGCAGGCCTGGACGTGGGGCGCGAGCACTGTCTGCTTCCTCCTGAGCCCAGGACAGGAGGTGTGGCTCTGTGGGGGGAGCACCACAGAGGGAGGGGAGGTTCCCGGGGCCAGGGGCAGCCAGGCCAGGCAGGGCAGGGCCACAGCTGAGCCTGAGGTGGGGCGGCTCTGTGTCCGCCCCGGGGGTCTGCAGTGGGTCAGCGCTCAGCTGCTCTGCTCAGAGCCTTGGCGCAGAATGAGGGATGAGGTCAGCAGCGCCTGCTCGGAGCAGGGGATCCGGAGGGGCTGAGGCGTGGAGGGCAGGGAGACTCAGGCCACCGCATGTGGGGTGGGGGTGTGCGAGCACACGGGGGGCACCTTCAGCCCGCCCCCCCAGCACCCTGGCCATGTGCTCCATGCGGCCTCTCTGGCTCCCCGGAGAGGACAGGAGTGTGAGCTGACGCCTGGCAGTGGCCTCCCTGCCCCTCCCCGGCCCTCCCCGGGGTGAGCTCCATGCTGGCATGGCGGGGAGGGCACCGGCTTGGCACGCAGCCCCCCAGGTGGGTCCCCATCCCCTGTGTGGCCCCCAGGCACCACCTGAGTGCAGCGCCAGGAGGAAGCCAGGAGCACTGCCCGGTGGGGCCCAAAAGCCCAAACCACAGAACGGGGCTCCCCAGCTCCCACTGGGCCCCGGGCCGGCTCTGTGCAGACCCTCCTGCCTGCCAGTGTTCGTGTACCCGGGGGCACTGAGGGCCAGAGACAGAGCCCCTGTGACATTCCCGCACTGGGCTGCCAGCCAGGGAGCTCGGGACAGCGGGCAGAGCGTCCCCACTCACCACCCCCAAACGTGCCCCTCGAAGGCTCCTCGGGGGCTGAGCTGGCCTCGGCGTCCAGGCAGGTCGCTGTACTGAGTCTGCCCCAGGAGCCCATGTCTAGGGCCCGGCCCCTGCCCGTGTGGGATCCCGGCCATTCTCTGCACTCCAGATTTGTCTGAACAGGTTGTGGCCTGAGCGGCTGCCTCCGAGCCCCACCGGCCGGCTCCCCTGCTCTGAGCATCGCGGGTTGCTGGACAGGTGCTGCTGACCTCAGCCCTTCTTCCTGCACCAAGGCTCTGAGCGAGCAGCCGAGCGCACAGCCCCTTGCGGACCCCCTGGGCAGCGCGGGGAAGAGGGCAGCAGGCCATGTGTGCTGCACTCGCCCAGCGACGGAGAGTAAAGCAAACAAGAAAACGTCTGGCATCTCCAGCCCCGGCTGGGCAGGCTGAGGCAGAGAGGGGTATTTTTAGACCAAGTGCTTCAGCGCTCTAAAAACCGGCCGGGATCCTTTTCCGGTTCCTAAGCATGACGACTGGATGTTCACATGTTTGGGTGACACGTGCCTCCCTGAGATCCTGTTATGCACTTGGCAAATTACACATATGACATGGAAAACAAAACAAAAAAACTCAGGCAGGTGAACAGGCGCAACTGTCAGGGACCAGTGGCGGGACTCGGTGAGCTGGCCAGGCGGGCAGAGCCGACTCCATTGCTGACAGTGTCCTGGCCCTGCGGCAAACAGCAAACCCAGCCCAGCACGTTCCCCGGGGAACCACGAGAGTTGCAGAACCCCCGCCCAGAACCCGACCCCTCCCGGGAGCTCCCTGGGCCCACACCACAGAATAAATCCCTACTCGGCTGGAAGCAGGAACTTCGAGCAAAAGGCTGAAACTATACAGTCCTCCGGCTGATTGCTGACAGCAGAAACACGCCAGGTTTATGAGCAAAGAGCCCAGACACTCCTGACGACCAACAGTCACTGACACACCTGATCTTCTCACCTCCAAGCCCTTCCATTCCAGGGCGGAGAGGGCCTGTCCCGGCCCCTCGTGCTCAAGGTGGGGTCCACCCTGCACAGGCACCTCCTCACGGGCCCCCCAGCACTAGCCCGACTCTCTCTATGACCCTCTATCACATCTGCAGGTGTGGATGGCTAACACGTGCGCACACGCACACACACGCACTTATGTGTGCATGCACACTCCAGCAGGGACTGTTTTCTCTCATGCACACGGAGACCAGACAAGCAATGACCCAACCCCACATGGGGCTTGAGTAAGGGCTCAGAGCAGACCTCACTGCTCTGGCCTGCTGCAGAGAGGCGCTGCTGACTCCCTCTGCCTCAGAAGGCCCACGCAGTCGGTCATGCCAGAAATCTCCAGAACCTGCTGAACTTCCCGGAACGTCCTACTGACACCTTCAGGGGCTGGGGGTGAGGGTCCTCCCCCAAGCGGTGGTGAGACGGGGCAGGCTGGACTGTCCTGCGAGGGAGAGGGTATTGTCACTGCAGGGGGTGGGAGGTACAAGGAAGAGCGGAGCCGGGAGGCCCCAGGGAGACTCACTTCCAGGGTCGAAGCGCCATGCAGCAGCGGCCAGCACAGAGGGGTCAGCACGGGGGCTGGAGGCAAGGAAAATAAGGGACTCACGCCAGGGGCAGGGGACTGCTGGGCAACATACAGGACAGGGCAAAGCAACCCCAAAGCCGGCCAGTGATGACTTTCCTGGCCCCTGTCCAGACCCACCCTCGTGGGCCCTACCTCTTCTGCAATGACCCCCCTCCCAGTCAGGCCGAGGGAGCCTCAACCCGCGGACAGTAGGAGCAGATGGTGGGGAGCAGGCAGGCGACAGCGTCTGGGGACACACAGCCCCACCCTGGGCCGCAAGCAATGCAGCCCATCAAGGCAAAGTGCTAGCCTGCTCCTCTGGGACACTAGGGCTTGGGACACGCTCGGAGGAGGGAGCCCTGGTCCAGGGTCAGCTGCAGCTGTCCAGAGGCATGGCTGGAGCAGACTGAGGTGGGCCAGTCCCCGACCACGCTGCCTCAGTCAGGGCTCCTGGCTGAGGAAACCAACACTGAACTACCCACCCTCTGAAGAGGGTGAGGGTCTGTCTCTCTTACACACACACTCAAATGCACACGCACGCACATGCATGCACGTGCACACACGTGTGTACACACACGCACACACACATGCACGCACACACATGCACGCGCACACACACACACACACACACACACACGTGCACACGTACACTTTGAGAGAAAAGAACCCAGCCCCAGAGTCCTTTAAGATGCAAATGTCTCGTTTCCGAGGGGCAGCATCATGGAAGGTGAGGGAGCAGCTTGAGACCTGAGAAGTCAGAGCCCCCAAAACACCCCTCCCGGGAGTGGCCCCCCAATGATGGATTGAACAACCGGCCCTGGGGCCACAGGCAGAGGCCAACCTGAGAAAGGCTCGTTCGACAGATGGAAGGAACGAGCGAGCACGTGTCTCTCGCCTCCCAACGCCACAACAACCTGTCCCCACGCACAGGCCATTGAACAAGAGGGCGCCTCTGCCCGCCAACGGGCTGCTGGAGACAAATTGCTCATGAGAACCAAGTCAGGAGCTGAAACCGGACACACGCACGCTGACTAGCTAACCAGACTTACACATTAACCCACAGCCTCAGCGGTTCCTTTCAAAATTTAAAACAAACAAGAAACAAGAGGCAAAGCAGGCAGGCGATCACAAATGCGCAAATGGCCTGGGCCTGGCCAGGGAGATTAACCGCGGGGCCTCTCCCGCCCGCCTGAAATTGCTTAACTGCCCGGGAAACGGGTCTGACGCTCAGAGTCTCTCGGTGTTTTTCATCCCACTCAGCACTCACCAGAACAAAGTGATAAAGTGGGAGAACCAGTGTCAACAAATGACTCCCCGCAGAACCGGCTCAGACACAGCTCAGGAGACTGGAGACAGACGTGGGCCGCCCTGTCGAGGTCTCTCTGAGGGCTCACAATGGGGCAGGATCCAGAGCGCCCCCCACCTCATTCCAGGTCCCTGGCTTGTCTGCAGGACCACGGGCACCGGCCCACGGAGCCTCCCCAAGCACCGTTCTCCATGCAGTGCCACCTCTGCGACCAGGAGACACTCCAGGGGGAGGCCGGGAGGGCAGAGCAAGTGTCCCTAGGCAGCAGACAGAGGCAGCTGTGCGAGAGCTCCTGGTGCCAGAGGCCCTGCCCGCATGACAACCCCGACACGCAGGGCCCCTACTGGTGGTGGCAGTTCTGCTCCAGGGGTCCCCGGGTAAACCGAAGCCAGAGATCTAGCAACTTCCTGTTAGACTGCAGGAGCCCAGCCCGGCAGGCAGACTTCTCCATTGAGAACACATTCCTGCTAGGGAGCAGAGCCAGCCAGGGCCAGAGGTCTCAGGGCGCAAAGGAATGAGGCAACTGCACTGGGCTGGCAGGGAGGGCATCCCCGCAGGCACTGCTGAAGCCAGGTGACAGGCCGGGGCAGCCTGTGCCAGAGCTGTCCCCAGAGGAGTGGAGGGGGCCCGGGTGTGGCTCAGGGGTGGAAGGCACACCTCAGGCAAGTGTGAGGTGAGTTCCTTCCCTGGAGCCAAAATCAACAATGAAAAAACAATGTTGCTTTAACCAGTCATCTGTTCTCCCATAACATAAAGTAACAAAATAGGAGACTAACACCCAAGAACAGCTCAGATAAGTACCAGGAGGTTTACTCCATGGCTTGGAGGCCAGCCACACATGCTAGGGGAAAAGGCAACTGAGATAGAGAAGGGAGCACCAAATAAAGGGTGTTGGGAGGATCCTTCCAGGATGGGAGAAGCATGCTGAAAGTAGACTATAGACCAAACATGATTGCCACTCAATGCCTCTTTTGCAAACCACAACACCCCAAAGGAGAGAGAGAACAGAGGGGGAATGCCCTGCCACGGAGGCAGGGTGGGATGGGGCAGATGGGGGGTGGGAGGGATACTGGGATCCATGGTGGTGGAAAATGGGCACTGGTGGAGGGATGGGTACTTGATCATTGTATAACTGAAACCCAAGCACAAAAATTTGTAAGTCTACAACTGTACCTCATGGTGTTTCACTAATAAAAATTTAAAAACAACAACAACAATGTTGCAGGTGGTGGAGGCGGTCAGAAGCTGAGTGAGGGAATGGGTGGAAGTGACCATTCCCACAGTCACCCCCTGCCTAAGCACGGGTCCATGACGGGTCCCACCCATGGGATTAATATCCCTCCTTGCCCCTGGCTGCTCAAGGATCTGGATCACAAGCCCGTGCACCTTTCAATGCCAGTAATTCCCCCTCCTCCCTTTGCAGATTAATACCCCAAATCGGAACCGGAACCTTCTTTTTAGAAGCTCCATCTTGACACCCTTTGATTTTCTTCAAAGTTACCGGATGACGTGTGATGACGTGTGCTGTGGTCCTAGAAGGTCTGCACAATTACACTTCTTTTGCAAGAGTCCAGGTGATAACACCCTGTCACTAAGATGTTTCAATCAATGTTCTTGGAACACCGTTGCTTGATTTCACACCTTCCTATTCAGATGTTCATGCAGGGAGGGCATTTGGTGGAGCTGGGGCTATTCTCTGAATCCCATTTAGGTCACTGGTCCTCATGTGTTGTTAACTGCTTGTGGCATATCGAATAGTCATGGGTAGCTGGCCAGGCTCTGCCATGCGGGCGGGATACTCTCGGTGGCTTGCTGGGCTCTCCAAGAGGGATGGAGGAATCGAACCTGGGTTGGCTGTGTGCAAGGCATTAAACAAAAAGGGGGAATATGTCTGATTCCCAGCATCCCATATGGTCCCCCAAGCACTGCCAGGAGTAATTCCTAAATGCATGATGAGCCAAGAGTAACCCCTGAGCATCACCGGGTATGACCCAAAGAGGAAAAAAAAAATAGTTTGAACCTGTCTGGGTTGAGCAGTGGCCCTTGAAACAAGAACAACTTAAAACCTTAGAGGAATTAGTTAGACAACAACTAGATCTGGTACACATTGTCCCTAGCTCCAACCCCTGGAATTCACCACTGTTATCAAGTGTTATCAAGAAGAAGACAGGCAAATGGAGTATGCAGACTGACCTGAGGAAAGTTAATGGTGGCATAGAGCCCATGGGGCCTCTACAACCAGGGCCGCCCAATCTAATTCCAAAACAATGGACATTATGATAATAGATTTGAAAGACTGTTTCTATACCATTCCATTGAGAGAGGAGGATAAGGAAAAATTAGCATTTATAATGCCTTCTCTTAACAATGAATTTCCTGATAAAAGATATCACTGGACTATATTACCTCAAACAATGATGAAAGACCTACAATGTGTCAATATTTTGTCAATGTGTCAATATTTAGTAAACCAGTCTTTAGAAAAACTAAGCAAAAATTTTACAGACCCCCCAAATTCATCTATTATATAGATGACATATTGCTGGCCACCCCACCAGAACAGGATATAGAGAACATGTATAAACAGACTTGAATGAATTGGAATATTGGGACTTACAAATAGCTACTGAAAAAGTCCAAAAAATGCCTCCTTGGGAATACTTAGGACAAAGTGGTTGGTAAACTAAAATTATTCTAAAAAGATGCAAATCAGAAGAGATCATCTAAAGATGTTAAATAATTTTCAAAAATTATTAGGGGATATTAACTAGCGTCAACTGTCTCTTGGAATTCCAAATTACACTGTACAAAATTATCTTCATTTTAAGACCTATAATATTAATCATGTTACAGTTATTCCATACAATAGCACTAGTCAGCCAATCACAGAACAAGTCAAAAGAACACTGAAAGATATGCTCATTAAACAAAAAGGGGGAACATGTAACAGTGGTAATTTTTTTTTAATTTTGATTTTATAAATTTGATTGAAACTCAAACAGCCATTGAATTATATTGGGACAGTCACTAAATTCAAGAAAAGGACAGAAATCCCCCTGACTTGAGGGAAAGTCCCTCTGAGAATTACAGAGTGACACAATGTAAGGATCCTGTAACTCATGAATATCACAGGATGGAAAAAAGGCTTTGCTTTTATACAGATAAAGATAAATTTTGGTGCAATTCAAAAAGGCTCAAACTGATCAACAATATAGGTAAGTCCATCGCAATTAACTTGACATAGTGGGCTGACATTCCTAAGCCCCCTTTACTGAGGGACGTTGTGGCAGGATGAAGCGATACCTATTTATAACAATGAAACCTCTTGACTGTCCAACCCATATCAGAATCGTGGGCCCCTAAAACCTGAGGAAGAGGGAACAATTTTTCCTGAATATGACACAGGAATCGAGGGAACGCCTATTTGCATTGGAGCAGGAGACCATTGCCTGCAATTGACCAATCAGGTCTGGCTGCTGTATTTCTTTATTACTGAGCCTAGATAACTCAGACGTTAATGTCCTCAGCTATGGGTTTTAAAGCTATTGGATTGGCTACAAATACATCTATCCCAGCCATACTTCTGTGTAAACTGAAGGCTGCAAAAGATTTGGATTTGGGTTTCTTGGAAAAATTGTAGGGGATCAGTCACTAGTATTTATACTGATGATTCCATTAGAATTCTGGATTGGAGCCCTAAAACTTATGCTATTCAGATGGACAAAAGAGGGATAAAAAGAAGCCTGATATGGTGACCAAAAGCGATCAATATATGAATGCTATATCATATGACACTACATTTTGGGAAAATGAAGGATTTGCCCCTCCAGCACTGTTCCAACCACAATCTACAAAACAAATTTATTTTAGGAAAATTGGCTCTGCTCCATATGAGCTCGCATCTTAGCAGGGCAGCCAAAGTAAGAATGGCATTACTGATGTGATATATTTCAACAGAAATTTAACCCGCCCTCTCTTAGCTTGTGTGCCTCTTCCTTATGTGATCTTGGAAAGAAAAATTAATTGGGATATACATGAAGGAGTTATTTCCTGCAGACAGTGTTCCATGCATACTTGTAGTAACCCTTCTGTGAGACTTCTAGAAGGAGAGAGTTTGTATTTTCTCAGAGCCCGAGTAGGTGTGTGGATGCCAGTGACTCTTCCTCAACCATGGGAAGACAATCCAACAACGGGAGCACTTCACCAACTACTTGTCCATCTCTCCCGACGCACCAAGAGATTCCTGGGTCTGCTCATTGCTGCCATTATGAGGATCATTGCAGTGACAGCGACGGCAACCATGGCCAGTGTGGCCCTGAAGCAAGGAACACAGACTGCAGAATTCATCCAGAAGTGGCATGAGAATTCCAAAAAATTATGGACTGCTCAAAGACAAATTGCTCTGAACTGCAGGCTGAGTTGGCTGATGTTACACAAACTGTTACTCTGCTTGGAGACCAGTTAGCTAGTCTCCACCAACAAATGTCTTTGAAATGTGATTGGAATACTACTTCATTTTGTAGAACCCCTGTACCATATAATGAAACTGAGTTTCCTTGGGATAAGGTGAAAAAACATCTTTTAGCACAAAAAAATATTAAATTACAGCTAAGATTTTTTTTTTTTGGCTTTTTAGGTCACACCCGGCAAGGCACAGGGGTTACTCCTGGCTCTGCACTCAGGAATCACTCCTGGCGGTGCTCAGGGGACCATATGGGATGCTGGGAATCGAACTGGGGTCGGCCGCGTGCAAGGCAAAACACCCTACCCTCTGTGCTGTCGCTCCAGACCCCTACCACTAAGATTTTGGACTTGCAAAGTAAAATACACGGTACCTTTAAAGACCATCTTTCTAATCTGGGATCTCCAGAAATATGGCAAGAAATTTCTGATGGCCTACGCTCCCTCAACCCTATAACTAGCATCAACAAGGGATTGACAGGAGGATCTGTAGGAATGGGTATTCTGCTACTTGTACTGACCATTATGTGTTTGATATTTTATTGGAAGTTTAAGTAGTACAAAACTAGAAGCCAGAGTAAACAGGTGGCCCAATTTGCTATGATGGCTAAAATTTGCCCTAAACAAAAAGGGGAGATGTTGGTGCTAAGCCAGCACATTAGGATGAGCCTCTGGACGCTGCCCTGCAAGCAGGAAGCAGAACCAAGGCCCCACTTCACACTAAGTGGGCAAACTGAAAACTTTGAGTCCAATGACCCAGAGAAGTACAGCATGCTCTCATATGCCCACCTGGTCATACACTATCTCAGCAGTACCAGGCAGCAGTTTCCTCCTCTCTTACACATCCTTAGTCTGGACTGATCGTCAAGTATCAGTATGAGCGTTCTCTTTGCCCTATGTGTAACTGACCACAAGAATGTGGGAGACGTAATCTGTAGAGTCCACTGTCCAGTTCCGTATCTTCCTCTGACGTTTTTAATCGTAACAACATAGCTTTGACAAGACAATGTATACCCTGATGTTCCTTTGACGAATGCTCATCCTATAACTATTTGTACTCTGATTAGTGAGTCTTTCTCTGTGGTGAAGTCATTAGGATGTAACTGATAAGAAATAGAATAAACAGAGGCCTCTGGCAGTTGCTCTTGGCCTCCAGCAGAAGGAGCCTTGGCCCTCTGGTTTTTTTGTTTGTTTGTTTGCTTGCTTTTTGGGTCACACCTAGCTTTGCACAGGGGTTTTCCTGGCTCACAGACTCAGGAATTAATCCTGGAGGTGTTTGGGGACCATATGGGATGCTGGGAATCGAACCCAGGTTGGCCACATGCAAGGCAAACTTCCTATCCGCTGTGCTACGGCTCCAGCTCCCTTTCTCCTGTTTCATCTCCATGTCTCAGACCAAACGAATATTCATGCAACAGGTGTGGAAAGCCCTGGTTCAATACCCAACACAGCATGAGCACTGCTGGTAAGAACTCCCGAGTGGGAGCGGCCCTCAAACACCCGTGCAACTCCACCCCCAAATAGGAGGGTGATACCCTGTCCAAAACCATCTTAGAGAAAAGAAAGAAAAGAGTGGGACAAAATGCTAAGACCCAGATATCAGGAGAAAACAAAACCCAATGAACGCGTGGCCAACAGGTGGGAGATGGGGGACATGAAGATAAATAAGAGCAGCAAAGGGTTATTTTTAGATTATTTTTAAGAGCTGGCATGGAAGTGGGGGTGTGGCGGGCAGGAAAGAATCCAGCTCCTTGCTGGCGCTGAGGGTTCACTCCCAGGCAACCAGCGCCCATGCCTCAGCAGCGGATTGCCCCAGGCCCCATCGGAACCAAGCAAGGCCAAGGGCACTGTCGCGGGCTGCCCGGCTCACCTCCCGCCGCAGAGCTGACCCTCAGCCACCGCGGGTCACCTCCGGCGAAACAGCTGACCCTCAGTCACCGCGGGTACTAGCTTACCCTCAGCCACCGCGGGTCACCTCCCAAGGTACAGGTGACCCTCACCCCCGCGGGGTCACCTCCCATGGCACAGCTGACCCTCGCCCCCTGCGGGTCACCTCCCATAGCACAACTGACCCTCGACCCCCGCGGGTCACCTCCCAAGGCACAGCTGGCCACCGCGACTGGACCAAGGCACCGAGCACTGCGCACACAGGGCACTGGGGCAAAGGTTCCGGCGCCTCTGGCTCCCTCCCGCCCAGTGTAACTGGACCCGGCACTGGGAAACCCGGGGCACGGCTGCAGAGCCAGGGCAGCCTGTCCGCTCCCATACGGACACGGCGCACACGCTCTCTCGGCTCGTGAGAGGACCCCCACGCGTGCACGGCCCCACGCTCCCTGCGCCTTGTGCACGGACCCCCACGCTCCCCGCGGCTCATGCACGAACCCCCACGCTCCCCGCGTCTCGCGCACGGACCCCCCACGCGTGCACGACCCCCACGGTCTGCGGCTCGCGCACTGGCCCCCACGCCCCTCGAGGTTCGCGCACGGACCTCCCCACATGCACGCCCCCCAGGGCCCGCGCGCGCGCAGACCCCGCAACCTTCCCGCGGCCCGCGCACTGACCCCCCACGATCCCCGCGGCCCGCGCACTGACCCCCCCCACGCTCCCCGCGGCCCGCGCGGTTCGCGCACCGACCCCACGCGCGCACGCCCCCCGCAGCCCGCGCACGCCCCCCAAGCCCCCTGGCCGCTCCCAGCGCCCGGGCCCGCGGCCCAGCGTGCAGTGGACTGCGGGGCGGAGGCGGCGGGAGGGCGCGGCGCCGGCCAGGCCCCGGGACGGCGCGGACGGTCCCGCGGGGTCCAGCACGCGCCCCAGCTGCTGCCGCGGCCGGGGGTCGCACCTGGGCGATGCCGGCGCCCATGAGCCCCGCGCCGATGACCGTCACGTGCTTGACCATGATCTTCTTCGCCGAGGAGGAAGCTGAGGATGACAGGGAGCGCACGAGCTGCCGGGTGACGAAAGCCATGGCGTGAGGCGGCGTGAGGCTCGGCAGCGGGACTGGAGCGAACCGGACCCACTGAACAGGGTGAGGGGAGACCCCAGGGGCGGGGTCGGCGCCGTGACGCCTACACGCCGGGGCGGGGCCTCGTGTCCGTCTCGTTCATTGGCCCAGCCGCCGACTGTGCGCCCGCGTGGGCGGGGCTTGAGAGCTCTGCGCAGGGCGAAGCCCCGCCTCCTCCCCGCCCATTGGCCCGCCGCCGAATGTGCGCCCGCGTGGGAGGGGCTTAGGGGCTCCAGTGAAGAGTGAAGCCCCGCCTCCGCCCCGCCCATTGGCCCGGCCCCCCAGAGTGGGCCTAGGGCCTCCTAGGTGCGGTGAAGCTCAGCCTCCATCCCGCCCATTGGCCCGGTCGCTGTGGGCGGGGCCTAGGAGTTTCCGTGGGCGGTGAAGACCCGCCTCCGCCCCGCCTATTGGCCCGCCGCCGTGAGCGGGGCCTAGGGTTCCCGTGCGCTGTGAATCCCGGACTCCTTGCCGCTGCAGTTCCGCACTCCCCACGAGGTGCATTTACCGCCCTTCTCGGGAAGGGCCGTCCCGGGAACCAGTATATACTAAGGCGGTTCCAGTGCTGCCTGGAACACATGGCCTTTGCAGCCCGGCCTGAGATACTGGCGCCTGATAACAGCGTGCAGCCTGGCTCTGGAGAGAAGGGTCCAGAATGAGCACCCTTAGCTCACGTCCTCCGGTAGTAAATTAACTCCGGGAATTATTTCAATCCGGTAGGTAGTGATGGTTTCTGCTAAAATGGCAGGACGCGCACTGCGCACACCCAAGTGTCTAGTGTTCGTGGGGTGGGAGGTGAGACCCAGGGAAGGATGGAGCTTGAACCTCAGCTGGCACTTCAGCCCCGCCTCCATCAGCGCCTAGAACTTGCTGGCAGTTGAAGGTCAAAGAGCGACTTCCGAGAACTGGGGAAATCACAGAGGAGGCAAGGAATTCTTGCCAGAGGTGATGGAAGGCTACCCACCAACGGGACCAATCTCAAGGGAGTGAATCAATTTCTACTTCCTGTACAAACTTGTTTATGTCTTAGGATGTAATAATTAGTACCCCCCAATTGCCCATCCACAATGCATCTCCGCCTGGCAGAAGGCAGCATCACAGCGAATCCTGGGTTCTCCAAGTTTTTGCTCCTGGCTCATTTCAGGCTGAAGTCTATAAACAGCTGGAGGTGCACCTTGGCACCCAGTCCAGGGCACCGGCTAAGCCCTCCTGGGTGGAGACAGTGTTACAGCCAAATAACTGAAGTACAGTGGAGGCTAGAATGTAGCAGATGCAAAAGTTTATGAGAGCAGAGGTCGGTTGGCTTACTCCTCTCTAGACTCCCTCCCAGACCCAGGTCCTTGTCCAGAGAAAGGCCAGAGGACAGCTGTCCTTCCCTCCGTCCCAGACAGACTCTCACCCCCAGGGTCTGCCTTTGAAGCAGGAACCCCGTCCTCACCAGGGGCAACCACAATGGAATCATTCTTCTCTCGTCCAGCCTGCAGTGTGTTCTTGGAATGCCATGGTCACCTTTCTGCGACCCTGACTTGTACCCTCCCCGGATGTTGGGATGGCACTCATCTCTTTGCAGAAACTGGGGGAGAGAGCTGGAGAGACAGTAAAGCTGGGAGGGCATTTGCCTGGCACGTGGCCAAGCTGGGTTCGATTCTCCACACACTAGATGGTCCCCCAAGCACCGCCAGGAGTAATTCCCTAGTGCGGAGCTAGGAGTAACCACTGAACACTGCCGGGTGTGGCCCTAAAACAAAAAACAAAAAGAGAATCGGGGGAAGGCCCTCAGGAAGCATGACCAGGGTCATGGAACCAACTCAGAGCAGCAAAAGGGGCACAGAGAACAGGGTGCGTGCCTGGTGACTGCCTGTGCTGTGGTATCGTGGATATGTCAATTAACACTCCAGTCATGGGTGTCACAGGGCCCGACGTGTGGCCAACTGCATGGCCGGGCTCTGAGCATGGCTGGGCAGGGGGGTGTTGGCCTGCAGCAAAGCAGCAGTGGACAGGCAGCCATCAAAGGCTTATGGCAGTCAAGCAGGCCAGTGGCCCTGCACCATCACATAGTCCAGGAACAAACACTCGAACACTGCGGGCTAGGGGAGGACACCACCATTCATTAGGTTGGACATTTCCTTCCACTGTGCAAAGTCAATGCTGTCTGACTCACTGGAGAGCGTGCAGTACAAATACTGTCTCTCTGGCTAGAAGAGCAACTTCTAGCATTCATGGGGCAGAAAATCACAAATTTTGCGTGGTGCCTCTTTGGGGTAGCACCACAGCAGGGCTGGGAAGCTCAGTTCCTGCAAGGAGAAAAGGCTGACTCGGCAATGCTGGTAGCTGCTCCAAATACACCTATGCATTCGCAACTTGAACAGTCACCCCAAAGGTGAAGCAGTGAATTGATGTAGACACCCTTTGAGATCGAGGACCACACCTGGCCGTGCTCAGGACTCACTCCTGCCTCTGCACTCGGGGATCACTCGTGGGAATGCTCAGGGGTCACAGGCACTGCCGACCCTCTGTCCTATGTGCCTAGCCCTAGTTAGACACTCTGCTGAAACAGCCCAGCCTCTCGGCCCCACTGAGAAGCCCTGCGTTTCCATTTGCAGACTCTGAGAACTGTCTGTGCTATGCTGCTGTGGCTGGCTGAATAGACCCTCCGCACGTCAATTCTGATTTCTCAAGCTGGAGAAGCCGCCATCTGGTATTGTCTGCTCCCCACCTCGATTTGGAACCCTCTCAGCTATTTGGAGTGGGAACTCTGCAAGATGGAAGTCTATTCATTGCCACCAGCTCCAATTTCTTGCATCTCTGGCACTAACAGTCTGTCTGGATGATCCCAGCCAAGGTCCTTCTCCTCCCCTCCCTGCAGTCAGAGGTCATTGCTTCCAGCCAGGCCCTGCTCCTCCCTTTTCCCCCACCCCTCACTGCTGGTGTTGTGCTCCAGGCCCTTCTGGGCCACAGGTCACCCTTTGTGCTCTCTGCCAGGAGTAATCTCTGCTTCCACTTCAGACGGTACAGCCCTCTCACCCCCACCTTTCCAAACTCATAGCCGCAAGAGGAAGAGCAAACATCTAGGTGCAGACCCACACCTTCTGAAACACCTTAAATTCCAGCGGGCCAGACAGGCGGTTATGAGTGTTCACAGATCTAAGGCAAAAGGAAAAACGGAACTTCCACAAGTCCTTGGCAGAGTGAGGACACTGGGCTTCTTTTCCTGGGCTCATTAGCCATTTAAAGACTTGGCGGAGGGCCAACACACTGACTGAGGCTCAGGGTTTTGTCCTGGCTCTGCACTCTGAGATCACTCCTGGAGAGGCTCAGGGGCCCTTTGCTGGTGCCAGGGACCCAGCCCTGGTCAGCCAAATGCAGGACGAGCACCTGCCCTCTGTCCTCCAGGCCAGCTCCTCCTTCCTATTTGCTGTTTGGTTTGGCTTTGGCGGTGCAGGACACTGAATCCCAGATCTGACACGTGGAGGCAAGTGCCCAGCTGCTTGGTCTCCTCTCGAGCCCCTTCCTCGCCTGCAATCAGCCACATTATCCACACGAACTCAAGAATCCTTAATCTCTCCACTGGATTGAGCTATGTGAACGATCGCGCTTCGGGATGCTTCCTTCTTACATTCCCCTCAGGTTTTCGCAAACTCTTCCAAGCGATCCAAGTCCCCACGAGGCTCCTCTCACCCCTGCTCTGCCCAAGTTCATAAAACAACCCCTTTGGGAGGCGTGGGACAACACTGGCACTCAGGGGCAGGTGGCCAAGTCACTCTCTGATGCTGCCCGAGGGGTGACCCTATAGAACTGGGTGGGAAAGAAAGGGGCATCAGGGCTACTGGAGTCCAGGTGCGATTTGTGGTAGTTGCCCGATGGCAGAGGGTTACCCCTGAGGAGTGTGCAGCCCTCTGTGTGGGCATGTGGATGGCACCTCAGTGGCAGCCGGCTTCCCCGACAGCCAGGAAACAAAGGAGCCAGGCAGAACTGACCGTGTCTCCTGTGATCTAGTTTCAAAAGTTGCCTGTTGCGTGAACATTCTAATATTCTTTCCGTCGGAGGCACAGAGATAAGACACGTGAGAGGAAGGTACAGAGCACGAGGGTCAAGGCTCGTTCCGGTTTGAGACCAAGAACAACTGCCAGAGGCCTCCTTTTATTCTATTTTTTTTTTATCAGTTACATCCTAATGCCTTCATCACAGAGAAAGACTCACTAACGAGAGTACAGTTATAGGATGAGCATTCATCAGAGGAACATCAGGGTATGCATTGTCTTGTCAAAGCTATGTTGTCATGATTAAAAATGTCAGAGGAAGGTATGGAACTGGACACGTAGACTCTACATATTACATCCCCCACATTCTTGTGGTTGGTTACACATAGGGCAAAGAGAAGGCTCATACTGATACTTGAAGGTCAATCCAGATTAAGAGTGTGTGAGAGAGGGGGAAACTGCTGCCTTGTACTGCCGAGATAGTGTATGACCAGGCAGGTATATGAGAGTATGCTGTACTTCTCTGGGTCATCGGACTCACTAAGCTTGCCCACTTAGTGAGAAGTGGGGCCTTGGTTTTGCTTCCTGCTTACAGGACAGCATCCAGAGGCCCATCCTAATGACCTGACTTAGCACCAATATCTCCCCTTTTTGTTCAGGGCAAATTTTAGCCATCATAGCAAATTGGGCCACCTGTTTACTCCGGCTTCTAGTTTTGTACTACTTAAACTTCCAATAAAATATCAAACACATAATGGTCAGTACAAGTAGCAGAATACCCATTCCTACAGATCCTCCTGTCAATCCCTTGTTGATGCTAGTTATAGGGTTGAGGGAGCGTAGGCCATCAGAAATTTCTTGCCATATTTCTGGAGATCCCAGATTAGGAAGATGGTCTTTAAAGGTACCGTGTATTTTACTTTGCAGGTCCAAAATCTTAGCTGTAATTTAATATTTTTTTGTGCTAAAAGATGTTTTTTCACCTTATCCCAAGGAAACTCAGTTTCATTATATGGTACAGGGGTTCTACAAAATGAA